AAAAAAAAATTGACGGAAATACTAAGCTCTCGTTACGAAATCATTAATCGTTAGATCATCATGTACCTTCGCATATAATTGATCTAACAGTTACATACATCGACAAAATGATTCCGTAACAGAACCGTAGATCATTTGTCAATTGAAAAAATTATAAGTCAAATGGTCACATTAGAGAAAGGGAATTATTATTTATCAAATAAAAAATTAAATTAAAGTTTACTTTCCTACATTTTGAAAAAAAATATTTCCTTTCACACCAAATGAAAAACGCTATTTGTTTAAATTAATTATAAATGACATAACTTCAAAATTGGTGTGAAATTGAGTTATTATTTATCATTATTTAAACCTTTTTTTAACAAACATCAAATTATTATAAACGAAACTCAAGAAAGTACATCTGATGAACCAACGGGTTACAATCCACAACTCCCCACAGGTAGAGAGAAACGGTAAAGAGAGTAAAAACAAGTATACTCCCCAACAAGACCAACACTGGCCACAAACTACAAAGCAAAAAGGCAAAACAACAAAGAAAAAACCAACTAGCAAACAGTACTAAAAAAAGACCAAGAAGCAACCGAGGAGAGCAAGTAATAAATGTCTGCCACCACCATAGATAAGCTTGCTTCAAAGGGATCACGAGAGTTAAGTCTTGAACTAAGCTCCTTGTTGAAAGTCTGGATCCACACTTTGTTCCAATAGTGATCTGCTCCATGGTAAAGCCAGTCTCTAATCTGAAGAAGCTCAGTTTCCACTGTACAAGGACCACTGTACCTAGCCAACTGCCACTCCTCCACAATCACATTGTTCACCCAAGCCAGCCCCCTACATCTTAAGGCATCACCAGAGGAAGCATTAGCACTGGGTCTCTTAGCCAAGACTCCTACTCCTTGTCCCTACTGGCTATCCACAGAAGAAGAAAGAACAGAACTTGCACCTTCAAATTCCTGCCATTCCCTCATAGCTCCCTCAACTACTTGCTTCTCAGAAGACCATTCCTTGTTGAACAACCAACCATTTCTTGTCCTCCATAGCCACCACAATATATAGGAGGACAAAGTAAGCCTATCCCTGCCAGCACCTTCTACCTTAATAGCACACACCTCCTTCCACCAGGATTTGAAATCCACTTGCTGGTCTCTGAGTTTAGACCAAGAAATACCAGAAATTTTCCACACTTTCCTAGCTCTATCACAGAAAAACATCAGATGTTCTAAATTCTCTTTTTCCTCCCTACACCAGCCACACATCCCATCCACTTGCATACCCCTTCTGCCCAGATTATCAAGTACCCAAACAATTATGAAAACATCTCCACAGAAATTTTTTTACCTTTGCCTTTACTGGGAGCTTCCAAGTTGTGGTCCACATTTGTTTTTGAGACATCAATCCTCTACTGCATTCCCCTTTACCCACTATGAGCTTCCTCTGATTCTGGATTGCAAGATAAGCACTCTTGACAGTAAAGATGCCCTTCCTGTGAGGCTGCCAAATCAGTCTGTCCTTCATCCCCAGTTTGCTGATATGAATTTTAAGTATCTGCTCAGCTTGAAGAGGATTGAATGTCTGCTTCACCAACTCAGTATCCCATTCAGACTTTCCTGCAATCATCAAGTCAGCAACCTTGCACAAGTTTTGAGTATCAAATGAAAAGGAACAAGTGGGTTTGAAATTTGGAGCATTTGGTAACCAGGGAGATTTCCAAATATCAATAGATAGACCATTTCCCACCAAGTATCTAGCACCTAACCCCAGAGAGCCCCTAGCTTGAAGCCACCCTTTCCACATCTATGAGTCAGAGGGCCTTTTCTTAACTTCCCATAGAGATTGATTGTGAAAGTATTTCCCCTTGATAACTTTGCTCATCAGAACATTTGGTTTAGTAAGAACCCTCCACAACTGTTTTATAATCAAAGCTTCATTAAAGATTTCAAAAGATCTGAAACCCAGACCACCCTCCATTCTAGATTTAGTCATATTGTCCCAACTACACCAGTGGATTTTGTTCCCCCCAGCTTCAGTGTTGCCCCACCAAAAGTTGGCAATAGTGTGACAGATGTCTTGACATATGCTTATAAAAAGTCTGAAAACAGACATGACATACACAGGAAGAGCAGATAACACAGTCTTGATCAAAATCTCTCTGCCAGCTTCACTCAGAAATTTGTTCTTCCAATTAGATAATTAATAACACACTCTTTGACAAAAGCAAAAGTATCCTTTTTAGACCTACCAATCCCCAAGGGAAGGCCCAAGTACTTAGAATACTTAGCCACAGCAATACCTCTAAACAGAAGACACACATCAGATTTGGCAATATCAGGAGTGTTGCTGGAAAAGAATATACTAGATTTGTGAATATTAACTGCCTGACCAGACACTTTACAATAGAGATTCAAGATATTCAAGAGAAGATTAGCATGATAAGAATTAGCCTGACAAAAGATTAAGGCATCATCAGCAAAAAAAAGATGAGATATAATAGGAGCTTGTTTACTGATTCTAAGACCCTGAAAATGATGCACTGAGCAAGCTTTGTGAATGAGATGAGATAGGGCCTCTGAAACCAAAATAAACATGTTGTTATGTGATTGTTAACAACGATGTAATTTATGATTAAGTGAGTAATTTGGAATGATTTGAACGTAAAGCATGTAAGATTGAATCAACAATGGCCCCGGTCCGAGGTGAACCGAGGTGAAGAGCCGTGATGGGCTTTTACGTGTTGCTTAGTAAAGGGTTTACAGTTCGGTAATTTGGAGAAAAAGAGATCCCCTTTCAATTGTCATAGGTCCGCTATTTATAGTAGTTTCGGGTTAATACATTGGGATATGTGCATGACTGTTTCGAATAAAGCTACTTTTTGCGGGCGGTTCGAGGCGGGGGGTCCCACATAAATGATGACGGATCTTGTGGAGCTGGAGGGCTTGACGTAGGCGCCTTGTCACCTGCTTGGGGAGGTGACGACCTCGGTTCATGTTGACCTCGGTGGATGTTGACCACTTCGGTCTTCGGTAGTTCGGTCCGGTCTGTCGCCTGAACCGGGGGGTGTATGTAACAACGTCGGTTCAACGATCATCTTCCTTCTAATGTGTTGTCTAGAATTCCATAATGCATGTTTACCGATCCGGATGTTAACAAAACAGATAGGGAGAGAGAGGGCATCCTTGTCTGAGACCTCTAGAAGAAGAAACATGCCCTAAAGCCTCACTATTGAAGTTAAAAGAAAAAGAAGCAGTGCTGATACAAGAACAAATCCATTTCAGAAAAATTTCACTAAAGCCCATACTTCTACACACATTAATGAGAAAGGACCACTCTATTCTATCATAGGATTTTTCCATGTCTAACTTGAGAGCCATGAAGCTTTTTTTGCCTTTTTTCCTACTATTAAGAAAGTGAATGCACTCATTGGCAATGATGCAATTATCTAGAATCTGTCTATCAGGAACAAAAGCAGCTTGGGATTGAGATATACAACAGTGTAAAACCTGCTTGAGTCTATTGGCTAAGCAATGATTCTGTAAGTGATGGTGCAAAGACTAATGGGCCTATAATGAACAATGGTTTTGGGATTTTTGATTTTAGGTATGAGAGTGATAACAATATGATTAGATGCTTTAGGAATGCAGTTTGAGTTCAAAAAATTAGATACAGCCAGAAAGAGATCACCTTTAATGGTAGCCCAGGCAGATTGAAAGAAAGATGGGGAAAAACCATCAATTCCCGGGGCTTTATGTGGATCCATGGCCCACAAGGCTTGCCTAATCTCCTCTTCAGTCACTGGCTTTATGAGATTCTTGTTCATTTCCTCAGATATAGATTTTGGAATATCAATCAGAACTTCAGCCTCCATAGTAGGATTATCAGAGGTGAAAAGCTTTGTAAGGAAATCTGCCACTTCTTTTAATGATTCACTTCTACTTCTGCAAGGCTCTCCAGTCAATTTGATCAAGTGTTCCAAGCTGTTTCTGTGAGATATTTGTTTAACACAAGCCTGGAAGAACTTTGTGTTCCTATCCCCTTCTCTCAGCCATGTCACTCTTGCTTTTTGTTTCCAATAGGCCTCTTCATCTCTGTATGCTTTATGAATAACTGATTTACATTCTGCCCATTGCAACCAGTCCCTGTGACCCCCTTGCTGTCCCATGATTTCCAATTTGGCATTGCATTCCTTTATTAACTTGGCAGTGTTGGACTTCTGAGTGGCCACCCATCCCAGCAATTCAAACTTAACTGATCGAAGTTTTTTCTGAAATTTGTAAAGAGCCTGACCAGGGCACTGATGTCCCCAAGCCTTCTTCACACAGTCCTCAAAGCCTTCCAAATTTATCCACCTGCTGTCAAATATGAATCTCCTCTTTCTCTGATCACTACCAGCCAACTCAGTTTCCATCACCAACATATTGTGGTCTGATGATATCAATGGAATATTGAGAACATGGGAATGAGGGAATTAAAGTAGCCAATCAGGGGAAACACAAAACCTGTCTAGCCTCTCTGCAATGAACTCATGCCCTTGTCTAAGATTAGACCAGGTAAAGCTAGGACCTACAAGGTTACACTCCACAGCCCCCAGAGTTTGAAGAAAATTCCTAAAAGGAGCAACACTAGCCTGACTTCTAGCTAAACCACCTTCCTTCTCATCCGGACTAATGATATCATTGAAATCCCCAGCTATAGCCCACAGGTGACCCCACCTTAAGTGATGCCTGATTAACATCTCCCATTGGCCTTGCCTCTCAACCGTGTTGACACTAGCATAAACCAAAACAAGCCACAAGGACTCAGAAATCCCTACCCTATGGAATTTAACCTCCAAACTAAAACCATTATTTACAATCTCCAAAATGACAATTTTATCTGACCAACATAGCAAAAGACCCCCTTGGAGACCCAAGGGATCAACACAAAACCATCTAGAATCAACATGTAAATTTTTGCAAACAGTAGCAATAAAAGCTTTTTTCTTTTTAGTTTCAGATAAAAACAGAAAATCTGGGAGGTAGGACTTAAACATTGCCTTCAACTGGGAAATTGTAGAGGGTCCTCCCACACCTCTACAATTCCACACCATAACTCTCATTTTAAACATGGGGACTAGTCTAGGCTGGTTGCCACCACCTTTTCAGTTGAAGAAACCTTTTGTGTTTTAGCTTTTTTAGAAACAGAAATTTCACACTCAAAAACAGAGGTCTCAGGTTCACTCAATTTTCTTTTTTGAACATTAGTATCAACCACATCCTTTTTTAAAACAGATTTGCTTGAAAATTCTATGCTAGGACCTTTAGGATCCAAAACCTTGCTTCTAGTAAGTCTAACAAAAGTTTTCTGAGATTTAGCCTTACCAGTTGAAGTTTTAGCAGCCTGAAAAACAACCTCAACTAAGTTTTCAGTGTCCTCCACAGGTTGTTTAGAGGTATCAAGCTCCATAGGGATCACAAGATTCACCTTGTCAGTGGGGTTGGCTTGGTTAAACGGTAAGACTTCTTCCACAATGATATGTGGGCCAGGATGGTTTACAGGTTGACTCTTAACAACATTGCCCTCACTAACACTAACTCTATCTCCCCCACTCCCCTTTTCAGAAACTGGTTCCCCCACCCTACTGCTACCCCCTCCTTCAACCCCTTCTTTTTCAGATTGGCTAGACAGAGGTTTAACTAACATGGTATTAGGATTTTCAGCCCTTCTCTCTCTGAAATCCCCTGATCCCCCCATAGTGGCTCGAAGCCAATCCCCATACTGCCCAGTTTTGAACGCATTCAGTTGAAAATCAGATCTTTTCTTTTCGCATAACCGATCTCCATGCCCAATTCTCCCACAATAAAAGCAGAAGTTTAGAATATTTTCATACCTCAGGTCAATCCAGTGTTCCTCCTGCCCCATTTTCAGAATAGTTCCTCTCGGAATGGGTTCTGACACACGAAGTTCAACCAAGATTCGCACAACACGGCCAGTAGTTGGACCTGGAGTAGGGAGAATAACATCTAAGACTTTGTGGAACAGTTTCCCCACTTTAACCCCAATTTCTGCGGATATCCAGTGAATAGGTAAATTGTGGATTTGAACCCACACTGGAATTTTCAACTCCTCGTCTGCAAAATCCACATGGCCTTTCCTCCATTCCTTTAGAATCAGATACTGCCCATCAAACGTCCAAGCTTTCCCTATTAAGACTTTATGTTTGTCTTCCTCATATTGAAACATAAACTGGAAAAGGTTAGTTCCGAGACTCCGGACGGTAAATGGTTTATCCGTACGCCAAATGATTCCCAGTGTATGTCGCAAAGCTCCAAGACTGGCTTTCTTTTCCCCCACTATCTGCCCAATTAAACTGAGAGCACATTCTGAAATACTTGGTTCGGCGTCTGCAGCTGCAATTTCAATACCCCCTTTTTCCTTCTCCGACAGCTCAAAACGATTCATTTTTTCGATAATTTCCTGATCCATATTGATGATATAAACAAGAATCTCATAAAGTTATATCAAGTCGAGGAGAGTTGGCGACAACTTGAGAGCCCCAGATCAACAAATCCACCTGAAATCGAAAAATTGAAGAGAATGGTTAAAACGAGAAAAAAGAAAAAAAGAAACCCCAGATCCCCAAACCCAGCGGAAAAAACGAGAGATCCACACCCAAAAACAAAGGAAACAAACAACTAAATCCAAGAAAAGAAGAAGAAAGACACAGAAGAATCCTACAAGAGGAACTGAGAAAACCCTAAAAAAGGGAAGGAACCATCCTACAAGAGGAACTTAATTTAATGCTCAAAGTGTAAAAAAAAAAAATCGTAACAATTCGATCCCTTCTTTTTTGTAATAAATTAAAAATTGTAACAATCTGATCCCTTTAAGTGACACGTCTGATTTAAATCAATTTCAATACACACATATTCTCATTAAAACTCTAACCAATATTGAGTAAAAATTTAACTACCAATTCCAATTTGATTTTGAACACCAATATATGTACATGTTTTAGACATGTTTTCCTTACAAAAAAAAAAAAGTTAAGAAAAAATTTAGGTGGGTTCAAACATTTTTAAGAATAATATAGAATATTTTAGATGCTTTTATATGTTGATATAACATTTTAAATGTTGTATATATATAGAGAGAGAGAGAGATAGAGAGAGAGAGAGAGATTAAGATTATCACATATTTCTCCCCCCAAAATATTAAATACATATAGTAAACAGTTAATAGAAAAAACCGATATAAAATTTCATTTTATTTGTTAGATTTCGCATTAATCTCGATTTGTATTTGAAAAAATGATAAATATGTATAATATATGAAATTGTTATGCGTACATAATTGCTTTTGAGGTAACAACCTTGTCTGTTAGATATAAAATTAATTCCATTGTATTTGTTAGTGTTTACAATAATCTCGATTTGTATTTCTAAAATTGATAAATCTGCATAAAGCGTGCAATTATTATCCGTACGAATTTTTTTTTTACGGTAACACTTTGAAAAATTAATAATAATAATTTTGAAATCTTTCGTACTCATATTTTTGATACCAAAGTACCGTCATAATTCTCAATATCATGTCAATATTTATTTTATATATACTAGGTAAATTTTCTCCTAAAAATTTTATAATGTCTTGATTGAGGCTTATAATAGTTTAGATACGTTTATATAATATTTTATCATGTCATATCATGTCTATATATACATACACAAATACACATATACATATCATATTAAATTTAAATATTTTGGGACATGTTTTCTTTACAAAAGAGTTTAGAAAATATCTTTCGTACAAAATAAAATTTAAATACTTTTTTGACATGTTTTCTTTCCAACATAGTTTAGAAAAGTTGTAGGTGACTTCACATCTTTTAATAATAATGTAAGAAATTTTAAATACTTTTACACATAATAATATATTTATATCACATGTTAACCACATATCTTTAAATAATTATATCACATGTTCTCCAATTTTTTATAATTATTATTTAATATTGTTTATCCATGCATCGCACGGGGTACGCACTAGTAAATGAATATTTAAAAAATATGTTTAGTCATTTTTACTTTTTAGGGAGTGGTAAAAAAAAGGAAAAAGGATTACCAAGAAGAAGTTGAACA